ACTGTATAGAGCTGTGGGAAAACCACCTGCTAGCCAGTTTGAGGGGAACATGCGAGACGTTTTCACTTCAAATTCCCATTGTGGGGAGGCTGTGATGAGGGGACTTACAGGAAAGTGTCCTTGAATCTGCAGAAAATATTTAGATGTTGAGCCGGTCACTAAATGTCACCATTGGAGAAGCTAGGCTAACATTCCGACCACCAGAAAACAAAGTACACTTTTCCCTGTGTCAGAGTGGCACAGGGTGATGGGAAACCGTATGTAAAATGGAAAGTACAAATTTTTACAGTGAAAATGTAGTTAGTTGAAACAATCTGACCATGACTTAAATTCAGAGTTCTCCTCTGCCTGAGTCCAGCCATTGAAGTGAAGCGATTGTGTTCTGGTGCTGCCCTCTGGTGGTCACTGGTCTTCACAGCGTCCTTTGGTCTGGCATGCTGGTCCCAGGAGGAACAGTGTCCTGCCTCGCCTGTCTCTTAGATGCCTGTGTTCTTCAGTCACCTCGTGATAACCCCGGGGTCCCCCACGTCCCCCTGATGCCCCAGTTCTCAGGCTCTTCTCTGCAGTAGTGTTTTGTGTATCTGTGTGGATACCAGAGGAATTTCAAGGAGCACCCGAGAAAGAGCTTGCTTTTTGTTGTTTAAGATGACCTGAATCTGCACTTGCTCTGCAGCAGTAAAAGTCATAACTTGATTGTAAGCTCTATGACTTTTCCCAGGCATTTGTGTAGCCTCCACTGGAGTTACGATTTAAACATGGCGGAGGGAACCTAATGCTTCTCTCCTTCTTAGCAATCTAATCCTTAAAAACAAAACCAAGATGACGATAACAGATCAGGGAGATGGGTCAGTTGGTAAAGCGCTTGGTGGGTAAGTCTCACGCCCCAAGTTCAGTCCCCAGAATTCACAGAAGAAGCGAAAAGTGGTGGGTATATATGTAATCCTCAAACTCCTCTGGCAAGATGAGAGCCAGAGACAGGAAAGCCAGTCAGCGGGGAGGTTATGGACAGCGGTAGAAACAAGACCGTCCCTCAGCGGCTCCCCAGGGCTGTGCTTGAACCAACATATGTGCATGCTGTGGCTTACCTGTGCGTGTGCACTCACACAAGAATAGTAAATAAAAGAAATGCAAAGCTTTTTTAACAGTTTTTTATTTGAGATAATATTCCTATACCATAAAATTTACATAATTAAAATGCACAGTTCTTAGCTGGGCATAGTGGCAGATGCCTGTAACCCAGCAGTCAGGGGATGGAAGCAGGAGGATGGTGAATTCGAGGCCAGTCTGGACTACACAGTGCATTTGGGATCATTGTTGCTGTCATTTCTGAGCTACCGACACGTGCCGTGTGTGCTTTCAAAGCACTGCGTGTGCCAGGCAGCGGGTCGCCAAAGACCAGACCCTGACTCCGTGGAAGGCAAAGCTGTGGTGACAGGATGTGGACCTTCCATGGAAGGAGGAGGCAGCCGCAGAGGTCCTAAGGAAGCTCCTCCGATGCTGCTTTCATTGCTCCACAAAGGAAACCCCATTCGTTAGTAGTCTGCCTGTCTCTCTCCAGACCTTTAGAAACATTGTCTTCCCATCTCTCTGCTGGTTACTGCAGGCACAGTGGAACATATCAGGACTTCCTAATCTAACATCTGAATAATACTCTGCTTCTCCGTTCATTAGAGAACGGACACGGAGCCGAAGCCTAGAATTATAAGATTACTAAGAGTATTTCTAAATAACACTTCTTATAAATTACTGCTATTAAGAGAAGGAATGAGGGTGATGAATCAGGTATAAGAAATTAAGGTAGCAATAATACGAAGTCTGAGTCAGTGCACAAGGAGAAAAGTTAACACCAAATAAAAAGCAAGGTGGAAATTTAGTGTCATTAGAAAGTCAGCAGTTTTCCCATACTCTGGACAACACTGGGTTATATAAATAAAAACTATAAATAAACAATGCTGGTAATTCATTTTTTGTTTTACGTGTATGGATGTTTTGCTTGCATGCATGTCTGTGCAGCACATGTATGCAGGGCCCTTGGAGGCACCAACAGCTGTCATGTGGGTGCTAGGAATCAAACCCAGGTCCTCTGGAAGAGCAGCCAGTGCTCTTGACTGCTGAGCCATCTCCAGAGCCGCAGTGACCAATTTCTTCCCTAAAAAAACAAGGGTAGTGGATGTAAGGGGCTTGGTTTGTGAGTGTGAAGGCCAAGTTCAGATCTCTAACCCACACAGAACCCAGGAGCGGTGTTGTGCACTGGGGAGGCAGAGGCAGGAGAGTCCCTGGAGCCACTGGCCAGCCAGCCTGGCCATACCATTCCCAGGTTCAGTGAGGAATGAAGATTGATTGAGGATGGTTGCCAGTGTTGAACTCGGGCTCTTTCCCAGCCTCACACGAGCTTTTCTGCGTTTACCCATGTATACACACACACGCACACACACACACTCACACGTGTACAAACTGAGACTCGTATGCTGTTTTTCAAAGCATGCTGTACACCTTGAGGCAGAGTCCTTTTCCCTTCGTTGTTGCCCACACCACATCCTGTGGCTGCATTAGCCCTGAACTCAGCTTCAAGGGAACAGGACACAAGGGTGGTGTGAAAATTCTCCCAAGCAGGGAGATGCATGTTGGCCCAGCAGTACCCACAGCAATACTGCAGGCAGGGGGCGTTGGCATAGAAGTGGGCAGATTTTCTGCCACATAGAGGCATGTTTGATGTGGGAGTGTCATATATCAATCTGTTGATTTCATTGGTTAAGCAATAAAGAAACTGCTTGGCCCTGTGGGTGGAGTAAACAGAACAAAATGCTGGGAGGAAGAGGAAGTGAGGTCAGTCTCGACAGCTCTCCTCTCGGGAGCAGACACCTGAGAGAGACGCCATGCCCTGCTCCCGGGATGAAGCTCCGACTCAGGATGGACATAGGCTAGAATCTTCCCGGTAAGCGCACCTTGGGTGCTACACACAGATGATTAGAAATGGGCTAAATTAATATGTGAGAATTAGCCTAGAAGAGAATGGGCCAAGCAGTGTTTAAAAGAATACAGTGTCCATGTAATTATTTTAGGTAAAGCTATCCGTGGGGGCGGCCGGGTGCTGGGGATGCAGCCCCACCATCCCTAATACTACACATGTTTTCTTTTTTATTTATTTTTTTAAAGATTTGTTTTTATTTTGTACCTATTGGTGTCTCACCTGTCTGTGTGTCAGTGTGAGGGTGTCAGATCCCCTGGAATTGGAGTTACAGACAGTTGTGAGCTGCCTTGTGGGTACTGGGACTTGAACCTGGGTCCTCCACAAGAGCTGTAAGAACCCTTAACCATTGAGCAATCTTTTCAAGCCTGTTTCCCCTGACTTTTGAATTCCATATAAGTCATGGAATGTGTACATATTTGTCTCTCATGTCAAATTTTGTTTGTGACATTTACCTACATAGTTATATATGTTAGAGTTTATTCATTTTGAATGCTACGTAAAATTTCAGTATATAAACGTATTTCACAATGTCTTCCATTTGGAGATACTCTGAGTAGTCACTGTCAGCTTTCTAGTCACATGTCCTGATGTAAACATATACTAATGTCTGTATCTGTGCTGGCTAGAGTTCTGTCAACTTGGCACAAGCTACATTCGTCTGAGAGGAGGGAGCCTCAACCGAGGAAATGCCTGTATAAGATCCCGCTGTAGGCAAGCCCGTAGGGCGTTTCCTTATTTAGTGATCGGTGGGGAAAGGTTCGGTGTAGACGGTGCTATCCCTGGGCTGGTAGCCCTGGGTTCTCTAAGGAAGCAGGCTGAGCAAGCCACAAGGAACAAGCCAGTAGCTTCTGCATGGGCTCCTGGCTCCAGGCTGGGCTCCTGCCCTGACTTCTTCCAGGAGTGAACAGTGTGTGTTGTGGAAGTGTAAGCCAAATAAACCCTTTCCTCCCCAAGTCGTTTTTGGTCGTGGTGTTTCCTCACGGGAACAGTAACCCTAATCAGGACCGAGCTCAAGGTTGTTTTTATCTGTAGTCCCTGAAGGTTGTGCCTGTCCATTGTTGGCTTTGTCCTGAGTGCTGTTGTGGGGTTTCTGATGCTGTGATAAACACCAGAACCAAAAGCAACTTGAGAGGAAAGAGCCTATGTCATCTCATACCTGCGGGAAGAGTCCATCAGAAAGTGACTTTCCACAGGAACTCAAACAGGAAGCAACCTGGAGCCGGGAGCTGATGCAGAGTCCATGGAGGGGTGCTGCTTACTGGCTTGCTCCCCATGCTTACTCAGCCTGCTTTCTATAGAAGCCAGGATCATTAGTCCAGGGATGGCATCACCCACAATGGGCTGGGCCCTCCCCCATTAATCACTGATTAAGGAGATGCCCTACGGGTTTGCCTACTGCGGGATCTTACACAGGCATTTTCTCAATTGAGGCTCCCTCCTCTCAGATGACCGGATCTTGTGCCAAGCTGACAGAAATCTAGCCAGCACCTGGGCCTTACTCAAGAGTTCTAGATGAAGGCCTTCCCAGCTCCCTTCCTCCTCAGCATTCCTGGCAGACTTCTATTGGATTTTGTTCATTCTGAGCAGGTCTTTCCCGGGTGTGTTTGGTGCATACACACGTTGGTTTATTTTATTAGATCGTGAACACTCTTTGGTACTTTGCTTGTTTGTTTAACCCAACACCCAAAATACACGGTACCTGAACTACAGTTATCTAGTTGAGCGAGTGCTGACAGCCACCACTGTTGACAATGTTTAGCAAACAAGCCCTCTTCGTTAAGGTAGCATCTAATAGAGGACAGTCAAGCCTTTGCTCTGACATGGGTCAGTGTTGGGAAGTGAATTTTGCTGAAGGGAGTCTGTCACCAGGCTCAGAACTGAGCATGCTCCGTGGCAGGGGTCATTGCTGTGGATTCTCAGGCCTCTTGGAGATTTAAAGCCTTAACAGCAGAGGCTCCAGGGCGGAGTGTGGGGACCAGATATAAATAGCAGAACACAGTGGGGTAAGGTGCCACTGCCAAGCTACCACTAGGGGTGTTATAAAAAGAAAACCATCCCCAGGCAGCTCTCACTGTCAACAACACCCCATCCTGGAGGGACTATCACCACAGCTGAGCGTGGGAAGCAGTGTGAGCCTGGGCATCGTTTAAACTTCCCGCAAAGGCACAAACACCAGGTAAACATTGGATTTATTTGCTGAAATGAAGACCAGGAAAACGCTGGCCCACAGCTGGCTTGGCACATGCTTGCTGTGTTATATTCCTTTTATTTTATTTTATTTTGAGAAAGTTTGACACAGAGTAACAATTTAAGATAACTACAGGTATTTTAATAGCGCTAGACAAAAGAACTGCTTTTGAAGAGAGACAGGAACCTGGAGCCAAGATTAGTTACAAAAAGAAAGGCTATCCTCCCGTCCCCTGTGTCATTAGTTCCCCCCGCAGAATCTAGTGACTGGCAAAGTAGAGGGAAATAGAGGTTTTGTTTGAGCTACAGCAATGTCAGCATTGTTGAGCGTATGTATATAAGAGACTGGAGGCCTTTATCACTGAATTGAGTTAGTTAACGGCTCTGGATAGCTTTGGCCCGTGAGGATTCTTGTCCTCCTGTCTACCCCTTATGCTGCCAGAAGTATTTGAATGGATACTGGGCGTTCAGCCAGCGGGCCGCTAGGATCTAGTCAGAATCACTGCCTTTCCTAGTTCAACCTTGGTTGTGAGAAGCTGGAGGAAGGAGGTCACCTCAGGTAGTCCACTCTGTCCTGCTGCTGACCTCACCCGTTCCCTCCCGCCCTGACGGGCTTGCTCTAACTCGCCCAGCAGGTGGGAGAATGGAAGCCATGCACGGGGAAATTTCCTGACCGTTCTCAGAAACTGGGGGCTAGGGGAGCAGTTTGAGAGTGTGGTAGTTTTAGTGTGTAGTTTCCTGTGCGTGCTCAGGGAAGATTTAGAGATGGGAAGACTTGTGCCCAGGGGCGACTCTGGTGGGATAGGCGTGTCTAAAGTTGTGTGGATGTGGATAGATTTGGTCTTGGAAGCACTGAAGTTCCCTAAGGCTTTACTGGACCTCTAGATAAAAATCAAATGGCTCTCGCAGCCACAGGAATGTCCTCAATCTTTCCTACAATCAGAATGACCGCCCACATGAAAATGTACACAGCATGTTCTTTTGCTCTTTTCCCCTAAAACTCTCTTGTTAACTGAGTTAAAATTCTCATTCTCATTTAGAAGAGAAAAATGAAGATGGGACATTTTGAAATGGTCACCACCCTGCTGGCAGCCATGACTCTAATGGACGTCTTCCAGGTAACGCTGGGAATGCACTCACTGGGATGGGAGCCTGTAACATTGCCCGAGGAATCTGCACTGAGAGAAGCCACTAGGCAAATTAGCTTGTGAGTAGCTTCCCCTTCATTTTGCAGGTGATACATACATACGTTAAGTGTAGAAAGTTAAGAAATTAAAATGAAACCAAGAGAACAGAAAAAATTTAACCATAAGCTCCCCCACTCATAGGGAGAGACTCTTAGGGGGTAGTGTAGATAGCCTACATGGCTCCCGTCTCTGTGTGTATAATTTGTTTAAAAAGTAGATTAATACTGAACATCATACTTTAACCTTGCCTTTGAGTCATACTGCAGTGCATTTCCATGTCAATAAATATTCTGGAAATAGCTCCAAATAATGCCACGGTGTTTGATTCTATGTTGCTATTAGACTACATAATGACTGTTCGCTTTTCGCCTTACCTATAGAAATCTTCTGATTTTATTTGCTATTCAGTGTTCAAAAGCTAATATACTTTATGTATTGTATGAGACAGGCATCGCACATGCCTTTTTAAAGATACCTTAAATTTAAAAACTATATCGATTTTTAGAGCTTTGGCCCACTTTCTAGAGCATTATTGCATGTTCTGTGGCCTGCACAGTCTGTTGCTTGCTCTTTAACTTGAGGCATTGTGCTGTTTTGAAAGAAAATAGCCCCCAAATGGGATGGCACCATTAGCAGGTGTGGCCTTGTTGGAGTAGGTGTGGTTATGTTGGAGGAAGTGTGTCATTGAAGGCAGGTTTAGAAGTCTCACGTATACTCAAGCCACACCCAGTAAGACAGTCTACTTCCTGTTGTCTGCTTATCAACCTGTAGCAGCTCCTTCTCCAGCACCATGTCTGCCTGTACACTGCCATGATGATAATGGACTAAACCTCTGAAACTTGTAAACTACCACCTCAGTTAAATGTTTTCCTTTATAAGAAGTGCCATGGTCATAGTGTCTCTTCACAGCAACAGAAACCCTAACTAAGACAAAGGTTGGTACCAGAGACTAGGGTGTTGCTGTGAAAGGCCTGAGCATGCTTTTTTTTTTTTTTTTTTTGGTTTTTTCGAGACAAGGTTTCTCTGTGGTTTTGGAGCCTGTCCTGGAACTAGCTCTGTAGACCAGGCTGGTCTCGAACTCACAGATTTTTTTGTCTGAAGGAATATGACCCTCGGGACTGTGGAAACTAAGGAAGGCAGTTAAACACGTTAAGTGCTGCTTAACGGGCCATGGGCCATCCTAGTAAGAACCTGGAAGACGGTGGTGCTGAGTGTAGTTTGAACGGTGGGGAGCTGGCCCACTTTCAGAGAGGAAGAATTTCAGCATGTTGCCTAGAGATTGTTCTTGTGATATTTTGGTGAAAAATATGACTGCTTTTTGCCCTTGCCTGAAGAGTTTTAGATTAATTTCATTGGCAGAAGGAATCTCAGAGCAGCCTAGTTTATGCTCTCTATTGGGTGATTACTGGTGTTGACTCTAATGAGGATGCATAGTGAAAAGGAGCAAGCTGAGCAAGGGAAGTTATTTGAGAAGAAAAGGAGCACCGGGAAGTGGAATGGAGCTAAGTCCTGTGTCCAAGGAGATAAACAAATTAAAAAAAAATGGATTAAAGGGGGTGGTGACTTCAGGGCAAGATCCCACCCAGCACCCAGTCAAGTTTCCAATTTGTGAAAAGAAATTAAAGGAAAGCTTAGAGCCTGGTGTGGAGATGCACACCTTTAATCCCAGCACTGGGAAGGCGGAGGCTGGTGGATCTCTGAGTCTGAGGCCAGCCTGGTCTAGAGATCCAGTCTCAGGACAGCCAGGCTTAGGCAGTGAAGGGCAGAAAGCTGGTGAAGATGTAATTGAATGAGGGGGCTGTGTTTTAGCCCCAGCAAGCAGCAGAACTTGGCAGCTTCAGCCATGTGGTTCTGGCTTTAGAGTCAAGGATAGAAGAAAGGCATTATGGAACCTTCCTCCCTGACTAAGAAAAGCCACCAAGGCCAGGCATGTGTCAGGGGTGTCTTTGAATGGAAGCCTAGAAAGGCCATTCCATGAAACTATGAAGTTGGAACCTAGATTGCCTTGGAGAACCCAAGATGTTGGAGATGTCAGATTCATGGGATACCTGCCAAGGAGAGATGCTAACGGAATGTGGAACCAGCCCCAAGAGGAAGAAGTGTGGTGTGGTCAACAAAGCTGGAAGGAGTTGGAGATGTGAAGATTGTTTTGACATCAGACATAGAGATGCAGAGTCTGGAGTTTGCACAGCTGGTTTTTGGTCTTGCTTTGGTCCAGTGTTTCCTCACTGTGCTCTCTCCCCTGTGCTTTGGAGCGGTAATGCATATCCTGTGTCATTGTACATTGGAAGTATGCAATCTGTTTTATTTCGATCTTATAGGGGTTTACAGTTAAAGGGTTTGCATGAATCTCAGAAGAGACTTTGAATTTTAGACTTTTAAATAAGTTTGAAACTGTTATAGACTTTGGGATCTTTTGAAGTTGGACTGAATGCGTTTTGTATTATATGGCTACAAGCCTTTGGAGGTCAGGGAGTAGAATGTAGTGCTTTGAAAGAAAATGGCCCCCAAACAGAGTGGCACTAATGGGAGGTGTGGCCTTGTTGGAGTAGGTGTGGTCTTGTTGGAGAGAGTGTGTCACAGTGGAGGTGGGTTTAGAGGCTTCATATGTGCTCAAGCCACACCCAGTGAGACAGTATGCTTCCTGTTGCCTGCATTATCAACCTGTAGCAGCTCCTTCTCCAGCACCATGTCTGCCTACACGCTGCCATGATGATAATGGACTAAACCTCTGAAACTGCAAGCCCACCACCTCAAATAAATGTTTTCCTTTATAAGAGTTACTGTGGTCATGGTGTCTCTTCATAGCAAGGGAAACCCTAACTAAGACAGACATATAATTGAGATCCCCTTAAAAACGTTTTAAGCCATACCCTTTAGTGGTTTTTAATGTCTCTGCGATGTTGTCCAGCAGTAACTGGGGTGGCATAGCTTGTCACCCCTCTCGAGAGACGCACTTTGCTCCTGATAAGTCAGTTCACTGCCCTCCTCCCCTGTTCTCAGGCAGCTGGTGAGATTTATGGACACCAGCAGACTGGAAGCTTGCATCATATGGCTTTTGTGCTTGGTTTCTTTGGCTTAGCACACTGTTTTCAAAGCCCGTTCATGTTGCGTCATATAGTAGTATCCCATTCTTTTCATTTATGAACACTAATGCCATTACATGGCTGGGTCATTTTGTTTATCAATCAGACCTCTGGGTTGTTCTACTTTATGCTGACTAGGAATAGAATTGCCAAGAATTTCTGTGTATGCGTTTCTGTATAAATGTTTCCAATTCTCTTATATATTTATTCTCTGGAGACTCATACAAGCACTGTTGCTAGCCTTATGTAGTATTTACATGAATACCTAGTTTTACCTATGTAAGTGAATGTGGGTTAGCCAGGCTGTGCTATACTGCATGACAGAATTGCACGCTATTGTGAACATACGTTTCATGGGTATATATGTAGAGTAGGGTCATTTCCTTTCTGGTGGGCAGGACGCTGTGCCTTGTGCAGCTTTGCCTTTCAAGTACTGGCTTGCCGCACATCATATTAATATCTCTTAATGTTTTCCCATATTACTGGCTTCTTTTCCGAATCACCAAGGTCATTTCCACATATTTAAAATGAACTTCTGGTAGTTGAAGTTCCTCGCTTTCCGTGAGCTTTTGTTTAGGTGGCTGTGTCAGAGCTCACTCTTCTCTTCTCACCTTCCATACCTTCCCCTCCGTGTGTCTATTCATTTGTCCTGAATGGCGATGGCATTTAGGAGCTTTGCCCACCGCAAGGCACGCACTGTTCAGAACACACAATCAGCTCTGGTGTCTGGCCAGAAGGCTTGCTGTCTAAAATTAGACATGTCAAGACTGCCCTGAGGCCTCGGGAAAAGACAGGGACATATTGGATCAACCCTGATGTGGCGTGAGGAATGTGGGAGGCAGTCTCCAGTCTGATGTCTTATGTTTCCGTCTTCAAGATAGATCACGCTTTGGAACTCAGGCTGAACGCTGGTACACTCTGTGCTACAGAGCAAAGTGCATTTCTCAGCTGTGAGACCCACAGGACTTGATTTCTGAAGCTCAAGAAACTGACGGACAGACCTGGGAGCATGAGCGTCTCAGTGACACTCAGCTGGAAGTACTATGGCCAGGAACCATGTCCGGAGCTGGCCCACTTAGTTGTCTCTGTGGAAAATGTTTTCTTTTGTTTAGCAAAACTAGACTCTTTTAAAGGTATTACATGTGGGCCTCATCATTGGAACATTCTAATGTTTTAGAAGCAACAGAACATTTTGGTTAAGAAGGGGTAGAACTCTGGAACCAGAGTGTCTGGGGTCAAATACCAACACTATGTCTCAGTATCTTAGTTTCCTTCTCTTTAAAGAAAAGGGTGGAAGGCAGGCTTGGGGCCGGAGAGATGGGTGGCCACGAGCACCTGATGTGCTTACAGAGAACCTGGGATTGAGTTGCCAGCACCTGCTGGACTCACGGCCCACCTGTGACTCCAGTTACACCACCTTCTGATCTCCTCGGGCACCAGGCACGCTGTGATGACTTTATGTACACACACAAAACACTAACGCTCATAAACTAAAAATAAACCTTTAAAATAAAAGAAAAGGGTGTTAGTGATAGTACCCGTCCCAAGGGTTCCTGTAAGCATCACGCAAGGTAATTCATAGGGAGCATTTAGTGCCAGCACACAGAAAGGGGATGTTTGTGAGGCCAGGAGAGAAGACAGCCCTAGGGATGCCTGAGACGGACGTGTCCACAAATGGCCATATGAACAGATGGTTCACTTAATGGTTCTAGGCAGTACTGTTTGGTCTTAGACATGGATGACGGGTCTTTGGGCATCCAAACAAAAGTAGGCAGTTGACAATCTTGGCCTTACAGCCTCGTCCCCCTTCCAAGTGCCCTTAACTTTCTTTATCCCCCATGGGATTACAGGAGTGGCTGGTGAAGTTCCTAAACCTGCGGTGGCCTGGGGCTCACAGTTTTAAAGGGAAAGAGGTGGGATTTTGGAGAGGGTTTTGGGATTGCTGGGCCTTGGGTACCTGCTTTTACTTGGGGCTGGAAGTGCATGTCAGAGTCGAGAGAAATACCCATAGCAATGGGATATACTTCATCGTTAAAAGGGGATGAGAGAGTGGGCATAGTGCCCAGAGAGAGAATTATATCAAATAGAAATTTGATTTCAAGAGTGTTTCCTTTCCTTTTGCTTTGAAGGTGAAGGCGGAAGTGTTAGACATGGCGGAGAATTCATTTGACGACGAATACCTGAAGTGCAGCACCAGGATGGAAATTAAGTATGTTCCACAGCTGCTCAAGGAGGAGAGGGCAAACCATGCGCTCCTGGAGACTGTGTGGGGTAATGCAGAGGTCCTGTGGAAATCTCGGAAGGCTCAGATCTCGCCCCCCATGAACTTCAAGGATCCCCATGGAATAGCCCTGACGGCGTTCGTAACGGAGGCTCAAGCACAAACTCCCTTTTACCATGAGTTCAACAGGGCTGTGACGTTGATGGGCCAGTCCCGGAAAGACTACATCTATGACTTTCCCTTCAAGGCCTTTCATTTTTACCTGGTAAGAGCCCTGCAGATGCTGAGAAGACCTTGTGAGGACAGCTACAAAGAGGTGGTGTACCTCACACGCCCAGACACTTCCATACTCGAAGAGCAAACCCAAGCCCGGCTGGGCAACTTCACACTGGCATATTCAGCCAAACCCCCGGCAGCTGACAACGAACCATTGCTAACCATCTACACCTGCTATGGGGTTGACGTCGGAAGATTTTTTGAGAAGAAAAGAGGAGGAGTTGTTTTAATACCTCTGAGTGAGGTTTTTCAAGTGTTGCAGGAAGGAACCAGCAATAACCTTCTTCTCCAGAGCATAAACAGGACCTGCAGCTACTACGAGTGTGCTTACCTTGGGGGTAAGTGTGTCAGTCGTGATCTGGGTTTTTCTGAGAGGAAAGGAGTGCGGTGCAGGCCCCAAGAAGTGTATGGGAGGGAAGGAGTGGGGTGCAGGCCCAGACAGGTGTCTGGGAGAAAAGAGTGGGGTGCAGACCCAGGAGAGCAATGTGTGCTTGCAAGGAGAGATGACACCAGCCATTTGCAGTATCACATTCTCGGACCGTGTCTTCTCCACAGCTCAGGTGTTGTCTAATACGCATACTTAACTACTAAAATTAAAAAATGAAGCAGTACAGAGGTGAAGAAAAGCCCATTTTGCCCTGCAGGGTTTGGCAATGGTCAGAAACATTTTTGGTTGTCACAACTCAGGAAGAGGTGGGATTGCTGTTGGCCAGGAATGGCTAAACAATTCTTCGGACCCTGCCAAAACAAAGAATTATCTGGTCTAAAATGTCAGCAGTACTGGTGTTGAGAAATCCCATTACAAGTCATACAGTAAAAACAGTCCATCCCGTTTCCAGGCCTCACTGGTATCCATTCTAAATCATGTTAGCTATTTTTTTTTTCAGGTCTACACCATCATGTTTGTAAATGAATAGCATGCTTTTATTATTTCTGGATTTAAATATTTTTAGATGTAGTCTAAATATTTCCAGTAGAGTGTTTGGCTTTTTTTTTTTTTTTTTTTTTTTTTTTTTTTTTTTTTTTTGGTATTTCTGGGCCAATGATGCAGGCTTGTAATCCCAGCTTCTCAGAAGGTTGAGGCAGAAGGGTCAAGCTCAAGGCCTACCTGGAGTACAGAGTGAATTCAATGCCAGGCTGGGCAACTTAGCGAGACCCTGTCTCAGACAGCAATAGGTTAGTGATAGAACGCTGGCCTTGCACAAGACCCCGGGTTGCGGTTCCCAAGGATTCTAGAGTCATCTTTCTGTCAGATTTAGCAGAAAACCTAATAGTTTTCACTGGCTACGACCAGGCTTTGGGGGACCATGGCTCTTCTATGTCCTTAGTAACTCAGGCTATCTTTCTGTGCCACTGGTTTGGGAATTCACGTTTGCGTCAAGGAATCGGTTTGTATCCAAAACAGAGACAGGAGGGGGACTGCCAGCCAGAGTTCTACCTGTGTCTCAGGAACGTGAGAGCTACACCAACCAACCACTGACCCCTACATACAGGAAGGAGAAAATCACTTCTGCTGCCTCTGTAATCCAGGAAGGAAGGGGGTTAGAAATGGCCTAGGATGCTGGTGCACATCTGTGATCCCAGCATGCAGGAAAAGGATGAGGATCTTGGGTTTGGGTCTAGCCTGAGATATTCAGAGATTGCGCCTCCAAAAGAAACAAGCCAGTTATTAGGTCAGTAACCACAAAGGGTCCAATGACTACTGTCTCCTTCCGCAGCAGTCTGGTGACTCCACCATCATCTGTGTGTGCTTGGTCCAGTAGATTGGTGGGGTTTTTTGTTGTTGTTGGTTTTGTCCCCCCCCCCCATAGTACTTCCTTTGCTGGGGTGATTTATGACTTCATTTTAAATATCATATTAATAATTCATCCCAGATCCTATGGTAGAAATAGCAATCACTCCTGTACATCCATCTTCCCACCCCTGGACATATGATCTCTCCATATATTCATTACTCCCCACCCCCTGGATGCACCTGCCCGGAATCCCATGTCCTGCTCTGGGCTGTGCTCCTAGTCTTACTGAAGGTCCTACAGTCTCTTTGCACCACCAGCCTGAGGTTGTGCTTCTCCCCACACAGTCCTGCTCACAATTTTCACAAGTGTTGACCACAGTTTTCTGAGAAATGGTACCTTGAGGCAAATTTCCTAAGACTGCCTGTGTGATCTGCCTCTAAGCTCAGATAATAGTTTCTGTAACCTTCCATGTCCTTGCATGGCTCTAGGGACTTGGACCCGACTAGGAGGTGGGGAAGGAATGAAGACAAGACAGAGAAGCAGGCAAGCAGACAGACAGACACAGAGAGAAATAGCTAGGACCGAGCAGTCTGGTTCTCAGTGAGAAACCCCAGCACCCTAGAAACTCAGCGTGCTGTTATGTAGATTGAAGGGGGTACTGCACACAGCTGAACTGTCAGGTGGGGTTATTACATACTGATAATAAGGGGCTGGGGCTTATGGTGTACAGCTGGATCAAGGGGCCAGGCCTCGCTCATCTCAGCTGGAGGGTCTCTGCAGGTCCGCAGGCTCTAAGCACCTGAGGGGACAAAGCTGTGGCAGCCGTCGTCTGTACGCTAACACTCACACTTGGTCCTTGGGAAAGGCTTTGCCATCCCTTCCAGCTGAGGCTACCAGCTCCTTGACAGGGCTGTGCAGAATCACTCTGATTGTCCAGACTTTGGATGAGTCCTGGTGTGGGTTTTCTGATGGTTTTGGTTTTGCTGTCATGGTTTTTATGCTGCTGAGGCCGGAACATGCTAGGAAAGTCCTTTAGCACTGAGCTATGTGGATCCCAGCCGAAGAGCTGATCGCTTTATTCTGGACGTCTTAGGACATTCTCTTTATCTGCAGCATTCTGAAATGCTAAGGTTTTGTGTCTTCTGTATGTGAATACAGGGTTAAAAACAACCCCACCATCCTCCCTCTGATGAGACTCTTTGTTGCTGTTTTTTTGTAATGTGCTAAGGGCAGAATGATGGCATTATACCCAACACTGCCTGTGGTAAACAAAGCCTTAGATGGTGAAGTACATGCCAGCAGGAGGATTAGGAAGGGACCTAAGTTCCTGGGGCAGAACGCCATGGTTTCAAACTTCCTCAAGCGGTGCCGCATGTACAGGTTCTCTCCTTGTGGAGCTGGAAGCAGCAGGACTCAGGGATGGAGCTGCCCTACAGTGGTCTGTTCAGGAGTTACTGTGTCTCAAGTCGCCTCCTGCAATTAAGGAGGGTGGAGCTGAAGACCACTTAGAGGACTTCACTTGAGAAGACATTGACTGCTTCCTGTTGTGTGCACCGCCTTGCATTTACCTGCATACACAGTTAGCCAGGAGCTGGTCTTTAAGGTCTTTGTGGCTACTAACTGAACTAGCAGTGGATGCTACAGTTGGCTTCAGACACAGGGAAGACTTTAGGCCTTGACTCTTGTGCCCAGTGCATGGAGATAGATGGGTGGGTAGGACAATGCTGAGGGGAGGGATGCTCAGTCGGGATGCAGACGGAAGTCATGCTGAGGGGAGGGATGCTCAGTCGGGATGCAGACGGAAGTCATGCTGAGGGGAGGGATTCTCAGTCGGGATGCAGACAGAAGTCATGCTGAGGAGAGGGATGCTCAGTCGGGATGCTGACAGAAGTCATGCTGAGGGGAGGGATGCTCAGTCGGGATGCAGACGGAAGTCATGCTGAGGAGAGGGATGCTCAGTGGGATGCAGACGGAAGTCATGCTGAGGAGAGGGATGCTCAGTCGGGATGCAGATGGAAGTCATGCTGAGGGGAGGGATGCTCAGTTGGGAAGCCATGCTGAGGACAGGGATGCTCAGTCGGGATGCAGATGGAAGTCATGCTGAGGGGAGGGATGCTCAGTCGGGATGCAGAGGGAAGCCATGCAGCCCTTGCTGGGCTGAGGTTGCAGGCTTTCAGGAAGTGTTCTCAGGGCCTTCCACTTCCCTCCTTTTCTTTCCTTGTTGTTGAGAGTGAATAGCCCCTTAATCACTCTAGGCACCTGTTACATCTGATGCCGATCATTCTTCTTGGGTGATGTCAACACAAGCAAACAGATTATATTAAAACATCCATCCCCTTCACCCTTTATCTATTGGCCATGGCCCCAAACCAGGACAACCAGAGCCAGCTTATACCAGAGTTGCATCTTTTTCCTGTTCCTCCTCCATCACAGCGTCACCGTGACTTAAAATTGGCCACAGTTGAGTTACTTGTTATTTCTCCGTATCCATGGGGGTGATATGTTCCAAGACCCTCATGGAACCATGGGTACTCGCAGACCCTGCATGGACTGGGTATTTTTCTATACATGCACACTCATGAGAAAGCTCAATTTATAGATTAGGTACAGTAAGAGTTTAATAACAATAGAATAATTACAGCTGTATGCTGTACTAGGCCTTCTGCAAATGCCATCTCTCTTGAAGGGCTGTTTGCAGGCTCCAGCTGACCACTGGTGACTGAGGCCATAGAAGGTACGACTCTGGGGAAAGGGAACATGGAAACAAGTAAGCTATAAACCACGCCCCCCCCTCCTCCCCCGACTGAGTGTGTTTAACTTCTCTAGAACATCACAGTCAGAATCCCAGTCGCAGCTGGACTGTAGAAATCATACCTATTTTGGTGCCCCTGATGCATTCAGGCAAATGCCGTTTATGGAGGCCCTGGTTATATAAAAGCTCTGGACACCAACCATATTTAGCACTGGTACCAAGCTGATGGCTGGGGTGGGCAGTGAAACCCACAGAGTCCATGTTTGTGAGATGAGTTGTGATGCATCAAAAGAAACCGAAAGATGATCTTGTGGATTGATTCTGAACGAGCCAGGGGCTCAAGTCTCTCCTGGCGCTGTATGAGCCTGTCTGTGTAGGAGGAAAATGAGGACGAGGGAAGGTCGTTTCACAGGTCAGTGTTCAGCCAAGCCAAAGGAGGCGCTTTGTGGGGGCTCATCTGTACCATGTTTGCAGGGCTCCCACCAAGACAGCTACAGCTTTTGCCTCTTGATTGAAAGCAAGGCTGAGGGCAGGGTTTAGCCATAAACTAGCTCTGTGCTGCCACCTAGAGACAGCCAATGGGAGTGTACAGCCAGAACTTCCTTAGGTATGGCTGAGTGGTAGAACACTTGCTAGCAAGCCATAGGCCCATGGGTACCAGCCACCCTCCAGCACCGGGGGAAAAACAGACAAAAGCTGTGGTTCTAGATGGGAAAAGGCAATGTTTCTGAAAGGTATTGAAATTTATTAAACTTAGCATGCTGGCATAGTCCTTTTAATGTTGAGAACTTACCTGTGATCTCTAGCATCAACGTAGAATGTGGATCTTAGAAAAACTGACTAGCCAAACAAACAAACAACCCAGTTCCATTTGTTAGGAAATAGAGAGACTAATTCCTGGTTAGTCTTTCTGTGAAGCCAAGGAAAGAGTAAAACCCTTCTCCTTCCTGAGAGAGACTACAGCAGGGGCAACCAGCTTAGATGTTTTTCTGGAAAATCTGGTAATGATGGAATGTCAGCTGTGTGAGCAGACTAAATACCTCCTCCTGAAGTGACACCGTCAGAGAACTGTAACTGGATTTGGGGGGCTGTGGGTCAGTTATGAATCCCTAAGGGAAAGCAAGTTGTAGTGTTCCTCGTGGCCCTGTAGTGCCAATGCGATAGGTTTACAGCAGAAGACCAACGAGCAGAGAAACAGAACATGCCATACCAGAACCTGATCGATCGATCGATCGATTTATCATCTATCTATCTATCTTCCTTCCTTTCAATGGTTTCTATGTGTAATAGTCCTGCCTGTCCTGGAATTCACTCTGTAGACGGGGCTGGCCTCAAACTCAGTGAGATCCACCTGCCTCTGCCTCCCGAGTGCTGGGTTAAAGGCATGCGCCACCACTGTCCAGCTGGGGTTTTCTTTTTTCTTCTAAAGATTTATTTATTTATTTATATAGTATCCTGCCTGTAGTCCAGAAGAGGGCACCAGATCAGTTGTGAGCCACCATGTGGTTGCTGGGAATTGAACTCAGGACCTCTGGAAGAGCAGTCAGTGCTCTTAACTGCTGAGCCATCTCTTCAGCCCCTCAGCTGGGGTTTTCTTTCTTTCTTTTTTTTTTTTTCAGCTGGGGTTTTCTTATAGTGGTTTTTGTTTTGTCTGTTACATATGTGTGTACCCAGATCCAGCCAGGGGGTGACACTAGGAGGAATTTCCATTTGGCAGCCTGGTCCTTCACAAATGGGCCCCTCCCTTAGAAGATTTGCTTGTAGATCCAGCAGCCACAGGAGAGACCGTGTTGCCCACACCTGGTGTGCTTTGTCAGTCTCCGAGCGAGTTTGTCAGATGCGGTCATGCATACCCACTGAGCTTGCATGTGTCTGCTGCATGTGCTCATAAGAGACACTGCATGTGGATCTCTCTTCAGGAATGCAGTTCTGAGTGTCTCCGTAGACTGACTGCCAGACAAGTCTGTATGTCCATTTCATGGTGTAGTCTCCTCCAGGATCACGTGACATTTGTAGTCCCACCCAGCACATGCTAAGGCAAAGAACAATTAATATCATTGTGACACATGGCTGCAGGATTAGTTCTGCTCACCCTGAAGACTGGCTGCTTTATCATCAAACTGTGCTTTTTTTTTTTTTTTTTTTTTTTTTAGATGTCAGGCTTTGTAGCGGGCGAAGTATGGGGGTAAGGACCGTACAATGTCTGACGTCTCAGGGATTCTCAGGCTGTAGTGCCCCTTCATTCCTCATGTTTATTCACAGGGACCCCTTAGCTAAAAGGAGTACCTGGGAGTTTTATTGTTTAAGTAGTATCAGACAGATCAGATGTGCCCAACGTTGGAGTAATTATTTAAAAAGATGGCGCATCGATCATACAAAGGTGTTTTTGTCATGAGCATGATCATCAGGCATCTTTTAATAATTATTGTGTCTTGTATGACTGGGAGGACACGAAGGTCTCAGCTTTGCCAAGGAGGCCAGAAGGCAACGTCCAGAGTGGCCTCTTTTCTTTCCATCTTTACCTGGGTTCCAGAGATGCTCTCAGGCCTCTCAAGTACTTTACCCTGTGAGGCGTGCGTCAGGCCACCGAGCTGTCTTTATAGTCTTGCTCATGATACATTAGTTAGCTTCTGCGTGGGGTGTGACCTAGTCAGCGGTGTTGAGACTGACCCAGTAATCAGATGTAAGGCGAGTCCATGTGGGTAACGATGAGAATCTCTCTCCCTTTCCATACCTCAGCTTTTCCGGTTTCTTCCCCTTCCCGCCCCGCTCCCCCCATAGGCCTAGAAAGTCTCAGCTAACCCCAGGTGAGGCATGGCCCAGCAGCAGCTCCTGCCCCAGTCCAGATGGGGCAGGCGTCTCCAGAACTGGTTTCAGCTTTGCCTCAGTTCTGTTCTAGACAAGCCAATGTGGTTTGCATTTTGGTGTTGCTGAGATTCTTTTCCCACGGCTGTGGTGAGCTATTCCAATGAAAGCAGGTTAAGTGGGAGGGGCTTATTTAAGCTCTCAGTCCCTGGCTGCCCCCAACACAGGGGAAGTGAGAGCAGCGGGAGCTTGAAGCAGCTGGTCACCACTTTGTGTACTCAGTCAGAGAGCAGGACAAAGGCTTACTACTGTTAGGTTCTTTCCCCCATTTACACAGTCAAGACCCTAGCCAGGGAGCAGTGCCACCCACAGTGGGTTGGTCTTCCCACCTCAGTTGATACAGTTGATAGCCCACCACAGACAAGCGCAGAGGCCCACCTCCCAGGTTGTTCTGGGTTCACTGGAGTTGACTGCACCAGGGTGGACATCAGGCAGGTTCTAATAGACCCGTTATTTCCTGGACAAGTGGAAACTAGACCAAGTTACCTGGATTTCCGGCTCAAACTCTAAAACCTGATACGGAATTTGATTAGAAAAGTACATTTGTCTCTCAGGGGCTTATCCTTGGGCAACTAGACCTCAACATTAAGTCAGTGAATCAGATACAGAGAGACCAAGGCGTTCAGACCTCCATGGGGCACCTGGGCAGTCCCCTGTGGCTCAAATAGACCTGTGTTTACGGGGCACCTGGGCAGTCCCCCGTGGCTTACACAGACCTGTGTTTACGGGGCACCTGGGCAGTCCCCCGTGGCTTACACAGACCTGTGTTTACGGGGCACCTGGGCAGTCCCCCGTGGCTTACACAGACCTGTGTTTACGGGGCACCTGGGCAGTCCCCCGTGGCTTACACAGACCTGTGTTTACGGGGCACCTGGGCAGTCCCCCGTGGCTTACACAGACCTGTGTTTACGGGGCACCTGGGCAGTCCCCCGTGGCTTACACAGACCTGTGTTTACGGGGCACCTGGGCAGTCCCCCGTGGCTTACACAGACCTGTGTTTACGGGGCACCTGGGCAGTCCCCCGTGGCTTACACAGACCTGTGTTTACGGGGCACCTGGGCCGTCCCCCGTGGCTTACATAGACCTGTGTTTACGAGGCACCTGGGTAGCCTTCCATGCCCTACACTGAAATCTTCTATTTTCTCGCTGACCCACTCTTAGGCAGATGGACAGAAGCCCCAGAGCACTGGTGGCACTGCCGTGGCATCACCAGGGAGTGTCTAGAGCCACCAGAAGCACCATGTTAGATGCCACGCTCCTATCCTTCCAGGAGCGGAGATGTTTTCACACACACAAGTGTGTTTGGGAGACTGACAACTATCTTTTGATATGAAGCTGAGAATCTTTGCTCATTGTTAAAAGATCTTGAAAATATGTTTGAGCTAGCTCTTGTAAGGGTAGGAATTGTCACATAGAAGGCTGGGTACTGCTTGTTATCTGCAGAGAGAATTCAGTTAGACAAGTACATTCCTCTGACGTTGGTAACACACCACAGACAGAGACTAGAATGTAAAATGGCAGTCCTGTAAGGGCCTCAACCAATGGTCACTGTGTAATTTGTTAGTAAAATTGAACATCCAGAAGGTATGCGCTCTGTCAAAGTTCATACCATTGGTTCACGCCTGGTCTGTAAATACGAAAACCTATGTTTCTGAAATGTTGCCTCCCCACTAAAGTATGGCTCTGATAAGCTAGGCATTTACAGATTAGATTGCTGATAGCCACAGATCATTTGAAACTTACTAGGGTAGGTTATGTCTAAAATTTTATCTTTGTGTTTCAGGTCTAAAAAATGAAAAGTGTGTTAAAAACTCAGGTAAGACATGTTTAAATGATCGTCTCTGTCATGGGAATTTTGTTAATTTTTTTTCCCCTCACAAGTATGGGTCAACCGCCACTATTGCCACCCCCGCCCCACGTCACACTGTCAGCATCATCCCTTAAGGCTAAAGTGTGCTTTTGTTAGTGGCTCTAAGTCCATTCTCTGTTCACCCAGAAACCAACGTTCAGGAATTGGGAGTTAATAGGAAGAAAACCAGGTTTATACACAAAGGTCAGCACCCTGAGAAATGGGGCAGTTATTTTGGGGCTCATCTCAAGTATTGGAAGGGACTTTACAGCAAGGTGAGGCCATTTAAAGGTAGTTTCTTGAGAATTGACAGTGCTGGCCAAAGGAGAATCACAGAACAATCTACACAGGGCCCTTTGCAAAGTGAGTCAGTCTGGGGTGGGCGGGGTGGTTAAAGACACACACTGTCATTGCTGCTTTCCTGGGGAGAGCTGCCCCTGCCCGTCCTGGTCTTCGCCTATGGCTGTTCTCTCAAACACTTCTTGTCCAGGGCAGGCTGGGTCCAAGCCACTCTCACGTCCGCCTTACAGGAACTTCCGGACTGAGACTGGTGAGGCCCTTGTAGCTTCAGCCATTTCCCACACGGCTCACGTGCAAAGAGCCAGACTTTTTAAATGCCTGTTTTGGCATCTCAGGAAATAACATTTGGGAGAGGAATGGAGAGAGTGTGGCGTAAAAGAGAAAGAAGGCCTGGTGGGACCCGATGGGTGGTTTGAGCTTATGGGGGGGGGGTGGACGACACAATGTAACATCTAGTGGGAGGGTAGAGGGTGAGTGGGAGGGTGGAGGGTGGAGGAGGAACACCCGGGAAACTGACCTATGACGGCTCAGCATGGCCGGGGGCCCACAATGCTGTCAGAGTGAAGAATGCCTTCAACTAACACAAGCTGTCAGGGAACCGTTTGGAATATTTCCTCCCTTAAATGCCTGAAAACAAGAGTCTGTTTCTAGCTGTCTTCCTGGCTAGCTTTTCTATGCATTCTTCTCTGGGTTAAAGAAAAAAAAAATCCATTATCTCCATATCTTTGAATTGAAATTTCATGTTTCTTGTAACCATGTAGGGCAGCTTGAGTCCTTATTATTAGTATTTAAAACAGGCTGACCTTGGATGGCATCTGGGCACAGTAACATGGATGAACACGTTTGTATTTCAGAATATATTGAACCAGTGTATATCTACAACCCCGGTGAGTATGGGCTTTTACGAACAGTCCAGCAAGCATATCTAATAGCTCTCTCCTGTGGGCAAATGCGCTTCCTACCCAAGTGAAGGTGGTAACTTGGCAGATCAGGAAGAGGAGGGAAACAGTGTGTTCTGGGAAATGCCCTCCTCCCCTGCGGTCACTCTGTGGCCCTCCCTGCAGCAAATGTTCTGGGGAGTAAAGGCAGGGGCACCCGCAGAGCTCACCAGGGCCAGTCTGGGGGGCCTATGTAGCTCTATATTCCACGGCTGGAATTAGCATAGGTGACACCCACATTCAAGTCCAAGTTAATTCTCAGCATCTGTGCCACTCCCATGCCTGATATGTTCACAGAGCACTCAGCCTAGTTGAGAACACAGGTTGAGTTAATTAGGGTTACCATATAGGAAACCAGAACTTGAAGCCATCTTGAAAGTGTGCTCTGAGATTTTACAGTGTGACAGCTTGAAGTACAGCCAAGCACTGCTGGTGAGGAATTAGGCGGTGTTGGCAACAGTGAAGCCGTACAGCCTCCCCTTTGGGGGGTGTGGGAAGGGCCTGCTGAACAAAAGGCCAGCAGAAGACAGGGGTGCGGGATGAAGCCCACCTTGGGAGGCGCCCTCCACAGTGCTCTCTGTCTCCTCTTCATCTAAACCAACAGGGGATTTGATTTCCTGTTTCCACATGTGGAGACTCTGAGAACTCATTGTCTGTACTCAGGTTCTTGGTTTTGCATTGGGATTATTTCTCTAATTGCAGAGAAAAAAACAAACCCTTGCCTTTAAAGGGGCGATGCCTCCTGTCCCCACAGAGGCAAAGCCACTGGCTCACGCCGAGGACTTGCCTATAACCCCGCCTACTGGTCCTTTGTGGTCACAAATTCTGACCACTGCATAGGACCTCAGCCAGCTATTCAAAGAGACATTGTTTTCCTGCCCCCTTGACCCCTCAGGAGCCTAGTTCTGTGCTTTACCTCAGTGGAGGCCGTGGAGACGTGTCCAGCATTGCCCACATACACAGAGACTCTAGGTGGCACTTGCATTCAGTGATGTGCCTTCTGGTCCCTGAGAGTTCTTTTGATCTCTCAGTAAAACTGATGCATTTTGCTTGTTTGTGATGTAGATCTGGAAGGGCAGAACCTGGAAGACTCTGGTAAGACACTCTCAAACTCTGGGACATAACATTTGCAAGCCGTGAGCGGGTGGGGAGAAGCCAGAGCTCGTCTTAGCTTACTAGTTCGATCCATCAGATTGAATTCTTTATAAAAACCACACAGGGGCTGGAGAGATGGCTCAGTTAAGAGCACTTCCAGAGGTCCTGAGTTCAATTCCCAGCATCCACGTGGTGGTTTACAACCACCTGTAATGAGATCTAGTGCCCTCTTCTGGCCTGCAGGCATGCATGCAGGCAGACCACTGTATACTTATTAAATAAATAAATCTTTTTTTTTTAAAACAAACAAACAAACAAACAAACACAGCACTCACGCCTGTAGTCATCCCAGAAAACAGAGGAGGGTTTTCTGGATCAAACTTGCATGAACCAGACCTGTTGACAAAACAAATAACCTTTAATTTTCCTAAATTAAAATGCGGATTCTTTGTATGTGGATCCAGGTGACACGTGTACTCATGTCCACTTGATGAGGATGCTTCAAAGTAAAACTTACTCCAAAGTTCTTAATTAGAAAAGAAAGAAAAAAAGAAGTGTGGGCTGGAGAGATGGCGTGTGCTGCTTTAGAAAACCAGGTTCAGGTCTCAGCGTTCAGAGTGGGTGGCTCACAATTACTGTCTGAAACTCCAGTTCAGTGGAACACATACACCCACTCGGGCACACACGTGCACATGGAAATAAATGTTCTTCTGTGTGAGTGTGCATGTGCAAGCCCACATATATGTGAAAGCCTGCATGCATGTGAACATGTCTGTGGAGGCCAGAGGTTGATACTAGGTGTCTTCCTGTATACTGAGACAGGATCTCTCCCTGTGAACATGAAGCTCTCACTAGTCGTGTTTTGGGAATCCCCTGTCCCTACCTCCCCCCACAGGGATTACAGGCTGGCCATGACACCCGCCTGGCTCTTATGTGGTACCCAGGCTTGCATGGCAAGCACCTTATCCAAGTCATCTCCCCAGCTTTAAAGTTCCTCTTTCTAAAGATGTTATTGTCTTCTAGGGCTAGGGTACAAAGTTCTCAAGTTACTGAAGAGATCATTGAACACTTTTCTATTTTCTTTTTTCCCATGGTGCCTCGAATCAAACCCTGGGCCCCCTGCAAGCTAGGTAAGCACGCTGTTGTTGAGATACACCCCAGTCCCTGGGACAGATTTCCTAACAGGTGATCCAAGAGAATGTGTCATTAACCTCAAAAGTGACTCTACCTTTAACCCAGTTATAACTCGGAAACCAGGACATAGAAACTCGAGTGTAGAACTGTGGCCTCAGGCACCGTGCTAGGCAAGTGCCTCACCCGAGCTATCTCCGCCCTCTTTGTACTTTAGTTTTGAACTTGAAGGCAGAGTCTGAGCTGAGCATGATGCTGCTCACCTTTAACCCAGCAGAGACCAGCAGGTGTCTAGTATGCGTGTGAATCAAGCCTGCTCTATATAGAGCTTCAGGTGGTAAGAGACCCTGTCTTCAAAACAACAACACAAAACAAAAAACCAAACACAAAAAAACAAACCTCAGACCGGGTCTGATTAGATTAGCTGATCTTGAACTCATTTTGTAGTTCAAGCCTTTAACCTTGCTCTCTCTGCCTTCTGAGTAGCTGGGATTTGCAGGCCTACACCCCAGGCCCCAGGCAATCCTACATTTCTTTAAAAGAGGCTCCAAGGAGTCAGAAAGATACCCAGTTGTGGACAAGCCATGACTCAGAGGCTCTGCTCAGCAGCTGACCAAGCTCAGGTGAGCGACAAGTGGCCAGAGACCAAGGCATTATGTGGCACCCAGAGCACATTGTGACATTCCGATATAACCACTCATGTGGGCTGCGTACTATTAAATAATATTAACATTATTAAACACTAAACCTAGAAATTAGGCTTTAAAAACATTTAAAGATACAAGAAAGCACTTATAATAATTTAAGAGTTGATGGTCTAGCTCACTAAGTAGAGTGCTGGCCTAGCATGTATGCAGACCTCCAGACACACACATACACACTGATGGTAATGTGAAAATCTATCCAAAGTCTCTGACAGTTTTCATTTTATATTGTATATGTATTTATGTGTGTGTAATATACATTATATATGTTTTATATGTTTTCTGGTCATATACGTAATACATGGTAATGGTAGAAATAAAAAATGGAAAATTATTAAGGATTAAAAATTAAAAAGCTCAGATCGCAGATATTAATTTGCAACATTTTTGGTATATCTACTTTGAATCTTTTTGCATATGTGTGTGTATCTTGTTTGGTTTTTTTTTACTTTGGTTTTGGTTTTTGAGACAGGGTTTCTCTGTATAGCCCTTGCTGTCTTGGGGCTATCTCTGTAGACCAGGCTGGCCTCAATCTCAGAGATTTGCCTGCCTCTGCCTCCCCATCACCTGGCTATAATATCTTTTTCAAAAAAAAATGATCATACTGGGGATCAAATCCCTCCACATTATGGGGCACCCACATATAGCACACTCATGAAGGTCAGAGGACAATTCACAGAACTTGGTTCCCTTTTTACTATGTGGGTTCCAGAGACTCAGGTCAGCAGGCTGGGTGGCAAGAGTCTCTACCTGCTGAGCTGTCTTGCTGGCCCTGGATTGATTTAGCTTTAATGAAGAATTGTGTGCTTACCTGGAGTGCGATCCTGAGTGATGAGACATAGCTCTCACCATCAATTAAGCTTTGGTGGCTTAGTGAGTCTCCCCTTCTCTAGAGGTATTTTGTCCCCTGTTGTTTCTCAAAGCTTTCACTAGAAAGAGCCCAATGTAAATCTACATTAATGTGGAAAATGGATATTTTGTCTCATTTTGTAACTGGATCTCATGTAGCCCAGGCTAGCCTCCAACTTCCTATGTAGTAGAGAATGATCCTGAACTCTTGATCTCCCTGTCTCTACCTCTCAAAACTGGGATTCTAGACATTGGCTCCCATATTGGTTCTACCCCACCCCCCCCAGAAAGTTCTTATTCTTAGCCTTAGAAATAACGAGCCAGGGGCTAGCCTGGTAAATGAATTCTTTCTTACTCTATCAGACTAGCTATCAGGTTATTAAGCCACTGTAGATGGCACTTTTGAGAGGGTTTTTTAATGCTCTGTTCAGTGAACCAATATTTCAGATGCAATATTTTCCCATTAATCCTTCTTCTTATAAAATGCAAGCTCTATCTTTTGCATACTCAAAAACTCCAAAGTCAGACCTAAGACCTACAGCGAGAGTGGGGGCTACATCATTTGAAAATGGATGGACCACGTTAGGGAGCTAAACTTGGAGCAAAGAGAACTAAATCATAGGTGCTCCTGAAATCTGGCTTATGGATTGGAATTCATATTGTTGCTGTGACACTTATGACTTCCATATTTGAAGTTTGGAGGTGGGAGACAAAGGGGGAATGGTAGCAGTGCCATTAACTGATAAACACCAACAGCATTTATTTCTGCCTTTAGGTAGGAAAAGCCTTGACTCCACAGGACCTCCAGGTAAGGCTGTTTTCTCTTTACTCAGAGCTGGTCTGAGCGTTACAGACGATGCCAGCATGGGATGATCCTCAAAGGCTTTGCTTTAGCGCCATGCCAGTTATGTCTACAGCTTTCTCGGGAGTAGACTGTGCCCACCATGCCTTCCCAGGATGCTGGGCACTGGCTCTGGGTGGGGCAGCCAGCTGTTGGGAAAACAGCTCTCAGCCAGCTTGCTGGAACCTGGTTGCAGAGGGTCCAGGCCTTCCTGAAGCTCTGTAGACACTCTGCTGCTTGGACCGGCTGCGTATCCAGGCTTAGGCTTCCTCTGGGCCCTGCAAGTAACAAAACACAGTACTCTGCTGGGGCAGGCACAGCTCAGTGAGGCGCTGTTCACAAGCTCCTCAAGTTTGGTGTGGATGACACAAAAGTCGGAAGCTACAGTGCAGTGGGACCTGGGGCTGGTGTCCAGTGCTCATGACCCAGGAGTCGGAAACGATCTAGGAGCAACCAGAGGACGCTTAGATTCTTCTGTTTAGGAAAGAATATTGCAGAACCTTTCCTTCTTCCTGGTAAGCCCGGTAGACACACTAGACGGCAGAACATGCCAGCACAGGATAGACATTGTCATCGTTACACGTGCCAGGTCCAGTAACTTGGCACACAGTCACATGTGAGTGAAGGACTGGGCCCTTTACTGTTTCTTCCTCGAGGCTTGCATTGCCTCGGTGACTTCCATTGTATTTACCATGGCGATGTCACCTGCCCTCACAGCAGCCACGAAACATGTACTTTTAAAAGCAGGGAGAAACCCTGTCTTGAAAAATCCAAAAAAAAAAAAAAAAAAAAAAAAAAGCAGGAGGGCTAGCCAGGGGCAAGTGTGATGAGACATGGAGCTGGGACTCCAGGAAGATTGCTTAGAAGTCCCTCAGCACTTCACTGTGATGGGGGAGGAGAACACAAGAGGGCACATCTTATCATCTTGCTCAACAGTCACGATGCCTCTGTGGCTCGGAACTGTCACCTTTCAAATGTGACCACCTTGTCATAGCAACTTCACAGGAGCAGTGATTGGTAAGGAGTATGAAACCACAACCAATGCTTAACAGCCCTTCCTCTGGGTTCATAGAGCCATTTACAAGATTTTTTTTCCAGTATATTCTGTTAATTTTGGCCATGGTCATCTGTTTAAATGTTTAATTATTCACTTAATTATTTCGTGGGATTGAACCTAGGCTTATGCATGCTTGATGAGTACTCTACCACTGAGCTACATCCCTAGATTTAGCATGTGCTAAACCACATCCATGGTTCTGACCATTGTTGGTCACTGCTGTCTTAAGACAGTAGGCCGCGTAGAAATAGCATGTCAAAGTTAACTTACAAAACAGACACAGAAAGCAGGTCTAGCAGCTCTTTTGGACTGATCCAGAGTGGCAGTGTCCCCCTTACATGACTTCCGTTCTTTGGGCCTAAGTTTGCACAGTGCTCTTCGGGGTCTTCAGTCTAATCTGTGGCCACCTGAAAAGTAGCTTCTGGCTGAGTGTGGAGAACTAATGGTGGCTGTGTAGACAGACCCGGCATTGCGTTCCCTTCTGCCTCTGGTAACTTTGTGTAAATAACTTCACTTATCCGAGCACCCGCCATCACCATCGTAAGATACGAATGACTCCACCTTGCAGGGCTGAGGATCTGATGTCACAAACTATCTGACAGTAGTCAAATAGTAAATAGGAGGTGCCATTTTTATTAACTAAAAATCTTTTTTTTTTTAATTTAGGAATTAAAGTGCTAGAACCAGATGAAAATCCTCTCTGGATGGATAATAAACCTGGTAATTCTTCATGGTGGGGAGGCTCATGGAATTCTAAGTTCTTTAACATCATCATTCAGATAGCTCAGGATCTGGGGGAAGGCATCTGGGCTGTAGTTCCTGACACATCATCCTGATGTTAGAAGGGGGAAGGGCTGAGAACTTGCTTCTGTGTGAGCAGGTTGTTAAAGCCTAGAAGAGGCCAGGTGGCCTGTGCTGGACAGCGGTGTCCAGCTGTACTTTTATTCCAAAGCAAATCAGGAGCTGTAGGGTGTAGATGCAAGAATACACTATGGAGCGTGGGAATGAGAATTTCACGGCACACCCTGCAGGACCAGCCTTTCTGTGGCATGCCTTCTCTTCAACTGGTTTTGTGCCCCTCCTGGAAAGCTGTGTGTAGTGCAGGCCTTTAAAGGCCAGGCTCATCTAATCCAGCAAGGTAGATCAGGAACCTGGTGAGGGCAGACAGCCAGACTGACACCCTGGACCCCTAAATTATGGAAATGTGGGTACCAGTATTCCAAGGCTAGCCACACACTGGTGGCGGGACAGCACAATCAGATGTCAAAGTTAGACATTGACCTCACGGATGCATTAGCTGATTCTCCATGCACATCGAACCTCAGAAGGCGCAGACACCTGGTGCATTCTTGACGTGCTGGCTCTGCCCAGTAGGATAACTGTGTGGTGCTGTGCTCCCATGATGCACTGGCACTCAGTAAGTGGGAGACGGGGCGGCTTGTACTGGGAATCTAAGTTCAAAATATAGAAAAAAGGTTGGTAAACAGACTTCATATTTATTCTAATGAAAACACACACTCATGGGGGAAATTTCTCAGAGAGCAGATGTGTCAGAGCCTTCTTTAACCTCACATATGCCTCTGGACCAGTTTCCCTTGGTCCCAGGCCCACTCCCAAGGGAGAAGCAGCTTGCTCCAACTTAATGAGATCTTTCATGTCAGGAGAAGTGTATAATGTAGTAACTCAGAATCTCTTTATGTTCTAGAAGACAAGCGTCAAGGAAATGCTGACAATCCTAGTAAGAAATACCTCCTATTCTTTGGACGATAAATGCTCAAATATAAAAATGTTAATTTCTTTCTCATTAAAAGCTGACAGTTGCAGGCATGTACATGCATGCCTAAGATGCCCCCACCCATCAGTCTCCTTTACACAGGCACTGCCCAGAGACTCTAGATAGAACATTGTTTTCTCAAGCAGTCCTTTTTCAAATCAAATATTTCATAAAGCCTTCACAGCACCCTTTGTAGTAATGAGGGCCAGCTTGTTGGGGTTTCTGTCCCACCCAGCACCCTACAGCCGGCAAGCCCCAAAGAAAATCACAGAGATCTCCACAAGTTATAAAACGGATTGGTCCATTAGCTCAGTCTTCTTATTAGCTCTTGTAGCTTATATTAACCCATTATTATCTATGTTAGCCACGTGGCTCGGTACCTTTCAGCCAGGCAGGTTACACCTTGCTTCTCAGTGGTCTGGGCTGGGATGGGAGGAATGGGCTTCCTCCTTCCCAGAATTCTGTTCTCATCGTCCTGCCTCTACTTCCTGTCTGGTTGACCTCCCTATACTTCTTGCCTGGCCAATCAGCGTTTATTTAAAACATGATTGACAGAATACAGAAAATTCTCCTGCACCAACCCTGAAATAAGATCCACAATAAGATGTACCTTAGCTATACAAGAATAGGATGCTCTGACTGTATTTTATAGTTATATGCAGTTGTATTTGCAGTAAGATGTACCTTACCTATATGAGAATTGGATGCCCTGACTGTATTTTATAGTTATATGCAGTTATATTTGCAGTAAGATGTACCTTACCTATACAAGAATTGGCATGCTTTGACTGTGTTTTATAGTTATATGGTCAATGCATAAATGCTAAATTCATAAACATATTCTTTATGAAAATTTGGGTTGGAGCATACTGGAAGCTGTTCCATAAAAGATCAAAGTGAAGCAGCAGACAGTAGATACTGTTTAGTGTTAATTAAAACTATCAGAACAGCAGGCGGTGGTGGCGGCACAGTCCTTTAATCCCAGCACTTGGGAGGCAGAGGCAGGCGGAGCTCTGTGAGTTTCAGGACAGCCTGGTCTACAGAGTGAGTTCCTGGACAGCCAGAGCCACACAGAGAAATCCTATCTCGAAAAGAACCAATCAGAAAATACGCTTGATTGTGTGAGTGCTGGATTTATATGTCAGGCGGCACACACGAAGACTGCAGAGGGTGGCTTCATGCTTAGCTCTTGAAGACTATCCTAAGCATTTCAGCTCTACCCCTAACAGTGGCAGAGCTAGCACCGACTTCGCCATTAGCACCGCAGTCTACCCTGGACAGCATCTAGGTGCCTCTCAGGTGCAGTACCAGCCACTTGAGAGCCACTCACCTGCAGAGCATCCTGAAGCACGAGTGAGCTGCCAATCCACTTCTAGCCATGTGACTGGCATGTCCGCAACTCTGGCGAGCAAACTCATATGAAGCCCTAACAAACAGCCATTTCTCTTGGCTTCATGTATTATGAAACCTGACTGGTCTCATACACATCCCAGTTGGAGAAACCCTGAGAACTCCCCCTTCCCTATGCAGTCTGCTTAAACCAAAGTGTAAGCTTGTTCCCCAGGTTTAAAGTGGAGTAAACAAGCTAGATTTCTCCAAAACCACTTCGTGGAGGAAGCTTTTTTTGCCAGTATAGACTGTTTTAAAAATGCAGTTGTATCCAGCTGTAACTGGCGTCTGTATGAATGTACACACACTGTTATTTGAAAGGAGACACTTGAGGTAAACTTTACACAATGTGTGATCTAATGCACACAGGAAGAGAACATTGCTAAGAAATTCTGGTATACTTGAGCAAGAAATAATTGTCTCGGTTGCCTATATAGATTTGAAAACCCTGTGAAATCTGATGATACCTATAGAAATTTAGCCTAAAACTTGGAAGCTGCACGAATGTGCAACAAGTACCTGACAGGTATCTCAGTAGGTGTCTGATTTGGCTGCTGCTATCCACACGGCTGTGCTGTCTGTACAGGCGGAGGATACTCCGTGCACACCAGTGACGTGTCCATGACTGTGTTCTCTTTAACAGCTCTGGGTCCCGCCCCTGCACCAGGCCCCCGGAGCCACCCTTCGGCATCATCTGGCAGAATGCTCCTCCCGTCAGTCACGGCATCCACTGTGCTCATTGTTACGTCTGCCATACGCATCTTCACTGCTCTCTAGCTCGAAATCACACCTTAATGTTTATTTGGAAGACGCTACGGAGATCCCACAGGAGGCCAAGAGAAAAGGTGTCTTTCTCACTCGGGCAGACACACTGTAAAATAAGAACTGTTCCCTGGCTCACAGTTAAAAAGCTGGTTCAGACAGTGTAAGAGAATTAACTCCTCATTTCTGTTTAAGTTTAGGATTGCAAAAACCCCAAAGCTGTATTCTTTTGATTGGATTCAATAAAAGTTTTAAGTTTATTAAATGTTTTCCTGTAGAATCGCTGGATATTAAAAGACCATTACTAATGTGGCTAACATGAATTTAATGCCAGAATCAAAATGTGAATGATACCTGTTTCTCTCTGAAGAACAAAACTATAAATAAAGAGGTAGACAGAGATGGCAGGCTCTTGTTCCCAGGAGACAAAGCAGTAGAGAACTGTAGGCAGGAAGAGGCCACTTGGGTATCCCTTCCTTCCAACAGGGAGCTGTTACTTTGCTTCTGTGTATCTGTCTTCTGTCTTTCCTTCTGACCAAACGTGCTTACATGAAAGGTGAGATGCGATCCTTGGTCAGCTATCCAAGCTGGGCCTGGGCTCAGTGGTCACCGTTTAAGTCTATGGAAGGCACACAGAGCACCAGACACTCCTTTCTACACTTGGCTCCAAAGACGGCAATGGACCAATCTTTTGAGCCAAAGTGAAAACAAGTGCATGCAAAGAAAACCTTCTCCCAAAGCCACTAGCATCTCAACAAGCAGGAAATAAGATGGGAACAACCAGGGAAGAGTGGTGTTATGTTCGCATGCCGCACACTCAGCAGTAGCGACTATAAAATTCTAGCAGCCAACTTGGAAAGAAGCTTTACAGTCTCTACCTTTACAATGTAACCTCCTCTGCTTCATGAGGGGTCTAGACATAGCCCTTCCTCCACCACTCGGCAGGACAACAGCAAAATTCACCGTGTTCTCTTGCAACGGCCCCGGTGTAAACCAAAGCACCACATACAAAGCACAAACATACCATAGTCACAGCATCTGTAGAGGTGTCAACACCTACGGCCCAGGTGTGTCCTGCAGTCAGAGTTGTATTTAAAACTGGCGGGCTGTGGACGAGTCCTATGATGTCATACTCAGCCACTGTTGTCAGATGTTAACATGAGGCTCTTCATCCTAGATGATTTCACTTGTTATACTCTAGTCAAAATATGACAAGTCCATAAATAAAACACCAGAGGACAGAATTACATAAAACTGCAAATTAACAATTTATTTTAAATTTCATTTTTAGAAATAAAAAGTTTGCAAAAATGGTGATTTTTGTTAAATCCTAATTGTTTAGGTATGTTCTGTTAAGTTCCAAATAAGTAAAATAATATAAAAATATATCTTCAAGTCTTCATAGAACAAAAGGAAAACCACACAAATCATTAAATACTTTGGAATTTTCTTTACTTCCCACGGCTGATCTCACAGATATAAAATGCAGATATGCATTTAACTCTGAAGCACAGTCTCCGCAGCATGTAGTTACGGTTTATTTTGTTATGTAGGAAGTAGCTATGTTTCATTTTGCGCTATGGAAAAAGGGACTGAAGAATAACCTTTATACACCGTGACCATGCTTAGTGCTAGCGCATATACTCTGCGTAATCGTGTACTTTTAAGTAAATATAGCTTTTAGATAAAAAATTTTCAGATTCCCTTTGAAAAGCTTTGTGGTGTCCATTTCAGATTTAATGTACAGTGATTTCTCAGGAACCGCAAACATGCCAGCGAGGAAAAGGATTCTTTTTCCCGTCCATGTGGTCATCGTACGGAAGGCCTGATGTAGCAAGATGCGCTTTATGAACCTCTGAACACGTCTGTAAATGGTCAGCTAAAGACACCACCTCTGCTGTGGATGGTTTCATTCAATCCATGTTCTACTAGTTTTATATCTTCTAGGTCATCTTTTATGATGCTAATCAAGTGGCTAAGGCCTTCCTGTTGTTGTTTCAAATGCTAGAATGAATTAAGAAAATAAAACATCAGTGTGCTACCCACAAAACAGCACTAGCGACTATATACAACAAGCATGCAGCAGACAACTACCACCAGCACGTGTGTCTACCATGTCTTTAGATGTGTTCTCTGGGTTTTTAGACTGGCCTCCCGAACTCTGGACAGTGGATGCGCACTGTCCACTGCTGTGGTGCTGGGGAGTGAACCCAGGGATCCATGCATAGCAGGCAAGCTACACCCCCAGTCCCAGCTTCTCAATTTAATACACAGACACATCATTCTAGATTACAATAAAATGTAGTTGACCTTCCCACTGACCTGAGTACTCCACTGCCCACCCTTTGACACATCTATTATGTGGACAGATTCTGAAGGGAGGACGTTTGGCTCTTTTACTATGGCATAACAATATGTGGGCATTTTCAGTGTACAGAGATGGGTACATCCACATCGTTGGGCACTCTGCCTCACAGAAGGGGAATCATACAGTACCTGTCCGTGTATGACCACATATTTCAAGGTCTACCATTTGTTACATGTGTCAGAATTTCCTCCTCTTTAGGAGAAGTCATACTGCACTATATGTGTTTGTACATAGGTGTATAAATGTCTTTGCAGATCCCTGATTTCAACTACAAGCTGGGCATGGTAGCTTATACCTTGAATCTTAGCACTCAAGTGGCAGAGGCAGACAGATTCTGAGTTCAAGACCAAACAGGGTTACATACTGAGACCTTGTCTCTCAAAACAGACGGAGAACTGCCAAATAATATGGCAATTCTCCTTTCAATTTTGTTGTTTCTCTGTGTAGTCCTGGCTGTTCTTGAACTTGCTCTGTAGACCAGGCTGGCCTTGAACTCAGAGATCACTTGCCTCTGCCTCCCAAGTGCTGGATTAAAGGCATACGTACCCAATGCCCAAACTTTTAATTTGTTTGAGGAAGCAATGTTTTTTATATTTTATGATATATGTGCCTGAAGGTTACAACTTCTCCATATTCTAATGAGCGAGTATTTCTGCTGTTGAACAACAGTCATCCTGATGGGTATGAAGCTGTAAGCTGAGCTCACCTGCTTGATTTCTCGTAAGAGGTCCGCATCTATGTAATACCTTTCTTCAGACTTCACAGCTCCAAAGTGATTCTGCATCCTGATCTGGGACATCAGTTCATTTAGTCGACCCTAAAAATGAGCCAGAGACAAGCGCTAACAATCACCGCTACTACTGAAGACGGCTGTTTGAAAAGATAGCTTCAAACCATCAGTTAAAATAAAACCCCCAGGTCTTTGATTTGAAGCACTAATGCAAGCCAAAAGTACCGCGACTGGGAATTTATTTTCACAAGTTCTAATCAGTGCAAATAAATGCTTAAGACACACTGCTGCATGTTCCTGTTCAGCTACCCCACGCAGCCTCTAGCCAGACTGACCACCAAGTGCTTACTTTGAACTGAGTAGGGGCATTCAGTTCGCCCTGAATAGTGTCTAGCTGAACCCGCAGCTGCTCTTCATCAGCCTGGATGGCGTAGCCGCTCTTCCTTTGAATCTCCTGTTTGATTAGGACCTGTAAAAGAGAAGACACCGGTACGAACCAGTAGACTTTTTAAAATCAATTATGGACTTGCTGATAGGCACTGGCTGAGAACTAACATGGGGTACTTTGAAATCTTAGCACTTGGGAAGCTAAAGCATGAGGAAAAGGCTGAGGCCGGCCTGACGAAGGAGAGCTCCAGGCCAGTCTAGGTTGCATAGCTGAGACCCTGCCTCAAACAGTAAAAAAGAAGGAAAAACAATCCTAATGCTTTATGCTTACACTGAAGTGCTTCTATATATCTGCCTACATTCCAATTTGATTTTCTTTCTTTGTTTGTTTTGTTTTTTTCGAGACAGGGTTTCTCTACAGCTTGAGCCTGTCTTGGCTCTTGTAGACCAGGCTGGCCTCGAACTCACAGAGATCCATCTGTCTCTGCCTCCCAAGTGTTGGGATTAAAGGCGTGTGCCACCACCACCCGGCCAATTATATTTTCTTATTAAAGAAAATATCTTTGTATAAAATGTAACACAGTTAATCCCAGCTGTGTCCACAGTGCTAGTTACAGGAATGCACCACAACACCCAGATCTAGTCAATTTCACTGTAAAACTTTCTGGTCAAGTGATCATCTTACCAATGTCTGAGTTATACGGGTTAAATGGGTGAGTGGCTCCTGAGAGACATGGCAAGTCTCTGTAGAATGACAAAAATATCCTAAAACTGAAAATACACTCACAGACCGTGTATCATATCCTTTGAGTGAGGTAAGTGTATGATATATGAACTATACCTCAATGAAATTGTTCAAAGAGGAAAAAAGCCATAAATATTTTTCCTTGATTTAGGAAGATTAACACAAAAATTAGCTTTTTATTACTTAGACAAAGTTCAACAATGAAAAGAGCTACACTGTGGGTCTCCACGTGGACTTTAGCAACTCTCCCTCTGCTCTCCGACTATTACCAGCTCCTTCACTTGCTGTAAATTACTTTTGGTGATCTCTATTTGTTAGAGAAAATCCCCTATCTCCCCTGGGTTTCAAATCTGAAAAATGCATACCATCTTTTACTACTTAGGGCTGTTTCTCTGGTTGGACGTTTCCCTCTGAGAGGGTTATTCATTCTGATGGCCGTCCACAGATCAGCTTTTTTCGTCTGTCCACAGCTACTCTGAATATATTGCTCGTTTCTCACCTTTCTCTTACAGGTGTCAAGCTTACCTTGATATTTCTAAAATTTCTTAACAGTGAGCTCAGATTTTTATTTGGTATTTTGACAAAGGCTTTTGAATCTGGTCTATAGCAATTGTTCTCATGACAATTTATGATTTCCCCTTCTGCTGCTGTCCCAGTCTGTTAAACTGGTGATTGGTTTAATGTCACTCATGGCCACATTCTTTCCCTGGCACTAAAATATGTTCTATACTTTATGGAGCCAGGAGTCGCTGATTTTATATCTTCCCTGTACCAAAACTGTTTATGACCCCTCGTTACTAAGGGAACTTTAAGAATATTTTTAACCTTATTTCTCACCCTGTAGGATCTTTCTTCCAAATTTTTATTGTAGGATCAACCCTCCAACTTGGGTCTTTTTCCTGTTTAAATAACATTCCTATTTGGCATGTATTTCACTTATAACCTCTTATAAACACTGGGGGAATTCCACATTATTACCTGTAAGGTTCTGTGGGAGAGGTCCATGAGCTTCCGCTTGTACTGTGCTATCTTGGC